TATTTTTTAATCAATCAAAAAATCTAACATTAAATTACTTACCTTCTTGTAGCTACTGGATTCTCAAGCATTGGATCATTTGAAGGTGAATGATTATATTATAAAAATTTGTTAAAATATATATTTTCCATTAATGCACACCCTCTCTAAATGCACTCTTTTACTCAATCCCGAAAGGGTGCATTTAAAGAGGTCTGACTGTATTTCATAATATAGATTGTTCTATCTTTACCAGATATTATTGAGAAAATGTCATAAGAATTATTTTATTTTTTTGTATTAATCCTTAATCTTTATCTCTACCTTTTCCTATAAAATTGCCTATATATTTTCGATAAGATTCAAAGTTTAGACTATATGAAGACTCATCTTAAATGATGTTCTTTAAAGTCATTGAAATATCTTTTGAGATGCAGTTTGGATCATATTCTTGTTGGAAGATCTAAGTTTGACTGTATAACATATTTATTATTTAATTTGATAATATAAACAATAGAAAAATAGTAAATAACAAAAAAAAATTCAGTATTTTTACCATCATTCTTTTTATTGAGAACTGTAAATAATCTAAAATTAGATCAATTTATATAAATTCTATTTATTTGTTAAAAATATTTTCATATAAATCTATGCAAATTCTTTTATAAATTATATCAGTATTATTTAGAATTCTAATATTTTTCATTCTCTTTCTAATTCTTCTATTACTATCACTACTTTTTTTATGCTTCTTTTTTCTCTTTAATTTTTATAAACAAAAAATTAAAATTACAAAATTAAAAAATAATAACTTTAATATTTAAAATAATTAAAATTGATATTGCTAAAATATAACAATATAAATATACACATATTAGATTTTTTATTTGTTATAATATTCCTTTTCATATTATTTTCAATTTATTTTTTGTGGATTTTATCAAAAATTTGTATTTATTTTATAATCTACCAAATTGAGTTACATTTGTAAGCTTTAAATTAATTAAAAATTAGCATATATTGATAATATTATTAAATTTAATAATATTATATTAGATTTGTCTTTTTATTATTATTTTAAATTTACTATATTTTAAATATAAAATATGAAAAAATTTAAATTTTAGGATTTGACAATTGAAGTAGTTCTTATAATTCTTCTATATATGCTTTTATTTTAACTTTTTCATTTAATAAAGAATATATTTATTCTTTACAAGATTTATCTTTTTATTTACATACAATATAGCAGATTTTATTGCAAAAAAAATTTTAAAAATTATTGAAGAAGTTGGATTTGATAAGATTTTTTCTAATAATATTATAATAATAGTTTTTGCAAAAAAAATTATAAATGAAAAATATAATTATATCATTTCTATTTATTGTATTGCTTATCATATCAATTTTTTTATAATTGATATAATGAGATCTAACATTCAAAAAATACAATTATAAATTATATGAAAATTGTTAAATACTTTAGAAAATTTTATAGAGTTAGTATTTATTTGTCTCAAATTTTAAAGAATCTTTTATTTAAAAATTATACAAAGATAAGGTAGATAATTACATTTGATTATTTAGCTTTAATTAAATAATATGAAAGTTCTTTATATAATATAAGAAAATAGGATTATAATATATTTATTTATCTATATGGATCATGGACTAGCAAAATGTACTTTTGGAACCCCCTGTCAAAAAATTTTTTTTTGATAAATATAAACTAGACATATTCAATTATACAAAATTTGATTTTTTAAGTTGTGTAAGTATAATAAATTATTGATTTATTTTGATTGAAATTTTTGTCACCAAAAAAGATCAACCAATCTAAAATTAGAACACTTATATTTAAGAAAACGATCAAGACGATCATCAGCTAGTCTGAAAATTTACTTGGTAAATTCACAAATAATAAATTTTGAGCGTCCTGATCTATTTTTTCCAATTTTTATCCGTTCGATCTTAAATTTCATACACTTGTCATTCAAACCTTGAATTAGTATAATCTAGGATTTAATGCAATTTCATCATATGCACACGCTTCCACCTCATTTCAAATTTTCGTCACTTTTTTTTCAGCATTTTTATTGCAATGATTATTTACTACTCTGATTTTAAAATTTCAAATGATTTTATTATATAGAGTTTTTGGAATAGTACTAGAAAAGCTTATAAAAATTGTAAATTTTATTTTATTTTTACTTTTTTTTTAAAAAAAATATAATCTATCTAACTATTGGTTTAGGACACATAATATCCTAAAATGGTTCATCAACAAATTTTCGAATATTTTTATACAAATATTCTTGACGCGTTAATAATAAAGGTTTAGAAGAAAATATAGCTATTGGAGCCCAAACATTGAAATGTTTGTTTTTTAAAATATCAAAACATTGAAATTCTCCTTCCGCCTCTTTTTGAGTAAATATTTTTCCTGGTTCACTTCTTTTAAACCAAAAATGTTGATGTTTTTGAATACCAGGTAA